GCCGCGCCTTGGTGGTTCGGCCCAGCGGCGGGCGGCCATGGCTGAAGTAGCGCGGCTTGGCGCTGCGAGGGCGAATGCGGCCGGCACGGCTTTCTTCCGGGGGAAGCTCACAGCAGCCACCGACAGGTAAATAAAAAAGTAAACGAGTAAATAAATAAGTAAACGCGCACCTGCGGTACCGCTCTGTAACACGGCGTAACAACAGCCTTAATGAGAAACGCGGCGGCGTCAAGCCCTCTTCAGGAGAAGTGACCGTTTGTCCCACAGATTCATGGTGGTTTTCCCTAAAACGTTGGTTACCACCTGTGCCATCTGCAGTAGATACTGATAGTGCTTTATCCAATACACTCTGAAATACTAAATTCCAATCTTTATTAAAATACAGCTCCAGCCGGAGCCAAAGGAATTCCACGTTTGCAAGCCTCACCAGAACCATCTTCCATCACTGCAGCACCCCTTACACTGAACAAGGTGCTCGTCTGTTTATGTACCCGTGTGATGCAGGATTAACAAAATAAAGAGTGAGTGCTGGGCTTTCGCTATCTGGTACAGAACAGTAGAATTTTAAAATACAGTCTTTTTTTGTAGCTGTTTTCCTATTATCCTATTAGTTTATGTAAAGGTTATCAAAAATCTGCCACTGTGCACAAAACAGGGATGCTTGTACTGAGAAGCCTTTAAAAAAGAACAAATGCAATAGATGTCATTTCCATCCACCATGCTCCTGTACAATCAACCCATCGAGAGCCACCAACTGCGGAAAGAAACAAGCCAGTTCCTGACATTTCTAAGGCTCCAGTGTTACTTCACTGTCTTCAGGTTCTGCTGCTTAAGCTTCTGACATTAGAGCACCTGGAACCTAAATACCCATTTCTCCTTCTTTTGTGTAAAAGGAAATCTTGTGTCAAATATTCTCTCCTGGTAATAAAGCTGGTAAGGCAGAAAAGGAGACAGCATCAGCCTGAAGAAACAGCCCAGCAGCTCCTTCCGAAGGATTCTCCACTGCAGACAAGCCTACAGACAGGGCCTGACCGCTTCAGAGGGCTCCGCTGCTCTGCTTGGAAACCCGTGGCTTCAGCCAGGGGAGCTGGAGGGCTCACTGCTGCGATACTCGGGTCAACTCCCTGATGTGTCCTGAGGGAGCTCTGGAAGGGGGAAAGTAGATTCCATATGAAAAGAAACTGCCCTGTTATTTCTTATTATCTTGCATTATCTGGAAATTCCCATCGTGCTCCATTGTGCTAGATATTATACAAACGCCGAACAAAACTGGGACGCTCTGCGCTAAGGAACTTGCTGCCAAGTGCCCTCCCTGAAAGCGGCTGCAGTGCCACGTGCGGCATTCTTTATTTAGCTGCGAAATGAGCGCAGCAGAAGCAGTGCCAGGTTCAGTTCTGGGGACAGGGAGGACTTGAGCCAGCGGCCCTGTCACACACCAAGACGCACGGCCATCCAGCTGAGTTCCAGCTGCTGCCCTGCCAGCATGCCTTGCCGTCACCCCATCAGGGTAGCCTCTGGTTTTGAGGGGACAAGATCTGTCTCTGTGCAGTTGTGCTCTCTGCTCTTTTTCCTAACGTACGGCCACATGCAACAGGAATTGGTTTAAGATCACCTGTTTACTGGACTTCTTCCTAGAACCAACTGTTGGAGGATTCTTAATCCATGTGGGTGAAGCCACAGAGAATGCACTAATCCTACAGGTTTATTTCACTAATAAATTATTCAGCGCTCTTAAGTAAAAATACCCATTTATTGTAATGACAGGGAATTGCTTGAAACATAACACTGCCAGAGGATTCCCACATTCATTTTTGTTCCTTCTTTGCTCCAGGCTTCCACGTGACTTCTGCTACAGCCATAGACTGCAGCACGCTTTGTTTTTTCCCAGGCTTTAATCACTCATTTGGAAATGGGCACAAACTGTTCCACTAATGATTGACCTGCAACAGGGATAAGTGAAACAGGCCACTAGGTGACAGCGGTACCTTCAGAAGGAGAATCTCCTGCCTTGCCAAATGCTTTGCTCACTTTGACTCTTGGTCCAGCTTCATCACAGGCTGAACTGCAGCGTGGCCTTCAGCGACTCCCTTCATGCAACTCCCAGCGTTGTAGTTTCTCATTTCTGAAATGGAAATGACAATGTTTCTTGTGTTTACACAACAGGACATGAATATAAATGCATTAGCATTTAGAAGCCATTTAGACAGGGGAAGAGGCCCATATAATTATGTAGACAGTCTGCATCAGGCAAATATAATGAACTGATCGGAAGGACGGAGTCAGGCAATCATAGCCCACAGTTATTCCATCTCAGTGGGACATGAAGTAGGAGGATACTGCCCTCTGCCTTCAACCTCTCTGAAGAGGTAACGTATTTTTAGCAGGTTCACACTGAGGGAAAACAGGCTTCAGGCTCTCCACTCCTTAGTGACCACTGCGCAGGTTAGCAGGAGGGAAGGGGAGAAGCAGCATTATGGTTCCATGTGCCAACCACCATGTGACAGGGCATGTGAAAAGAGGTGACAGAGGTTTACCGGTCAGCATCCCTAATCACTGGGAGTACAGACCTCTGTCAGCCTATGCACTCATCTGGGACCACTGCAGCTCCATGTTCCTCCTCACACAAGACTGTCCTTGGAAAACTATTGCCTCCCTTACTCTGCCTATGAGCTCATTGTTACCTTTCCTGAAAATTAAGAGTCACAAGGTTTGCTCACACTTGGAGATGCAACAAGTCTGTACTTAACGCTGCATGTTGTATAAGACAGGGTGTTGGGGTTGATGTAGCTTGAGAATTAGCACGACTAGGCCACTTGGGCAAAGCAGCATGATTGAACAGGCTGCTGGAGAAGACAGCTAAGAGTAGCCATTGAGAAAGTTCTGATAGTGCACATGGTGTGGGTTAGCAAAAACAAGATGTGTTCAAGGACGTGGAGGCAGTCTGTTGCTATTGGCATTAGTCCATAGTTACCAATCATAAGGGAATGTGGGGCGTGTGAACAGCGTGTGATTTATGTCTGTAG